TTGGCGACTTTCCAATACGTCGCTCGTAAACATGGCGTAAAAATATGGACTAAATGAAGCCAAGACAACCTTGTGAGCGTAGATTTCCAGGTCTCCTACGTGAAGAACGACATCACATAGTTCTTTTTTTTTTCGTAACTCGTTCATGACACTGAAAGTAACTTTCATATGTTCCTCTAAGAACACATTTTCTTCTATAGGATCCATGATCAAACGGATGGCATCCACTGATGTAGTATATGACTTCTTAGTTTCTCATCGGAAACTTGTCTTATTAGATTGCGCTGAAGTGTTTTGTTTCCAATAGTGATTGGTAGTATCCGCTGTGCTTGCTAGAACGAGGACGAGCGCTCTATTTTGAGCAAGCGCAGTGAGGTAAATCAACAATAAAGTTCGTTCCCAGAGTCTTTCTTGCTAAAGGAATGGGGACTCTGGGAACAAGTTTGACGAATTTACGACCGGCAAAGGGTCAGATTTCTGTTGTGAATTGCCCCTTTTCACGGCAGATTTCGACATGAGGAGGAATTTTTCAGGTCCGGATGAGGTTTTGACAGGAAGTCCTACTCAGTGTTTTGTTGAAAAAGCTAATTTTCCGACTCTTTCTTGCAGGCGCGAGGTTTGAAAATCTCGACGAACCCACCCCCCTCGATCTGAGCCGTGGTAAGTAAAATATTTAGTTCTCAAAAATGTCTGTTTTGCAAACATCGCTTATTTTGCGTTTGCGTGTTAACTTTGATAAACCCATCCAGCTCTATCTAAAAGCAGAAAATTTAAATGTTTCAGTTCACTAGTGCTTTTGTCTCGCTCTGTGTTCAAGAGGATTTGATCATTCAGTTACCCAGAGTTTGATTGGTGTACTAAATTAGATCGACTGGCCAGCATTGATTAATTTTTCATTCTTCACCTATTTCGTCGTTATATCTTGCAAAATAACTATAAATGTACATATTTTTCATTTTACAGTCCATCAATTACAATACTCTTTTGTAGTCGTCAACATAAATTTTGGTTCTTTGACATGCGGGAAATTTTACTACGGGTTGTAGTACACTGGGTTGTTTTCTTTCTTAAAACATGTTTTTGGTGAAGATCACCAGCTTCTCATAGCTATTTATTGCCTTCTATGCGTATACGTTTGAGAAAGAGAGAGAGCTAAGAAGGTATTGTAAACAACCGTAAAATACGTTTACATCTCCGAATATCACCGGGCACTGGGCTTACTGACGTGTTTTTGGTGTGGGGGTGGGGGTGGGGACGTCAATGATAGTCTTAGAGATTGGGAGCTTGGGGAATTATGGGAGGGGTGGTATGGGTGTGAGGAAAATTTGACTTTTTATTGGAAACTATATGTGGTATAGTGCTTCAATGCAAACTAATTTTTTTTTCTTAATTCTAAAGATCTTTTTAATGCTCTTAAACTGTGTTAACCCATAAACTCCCAGAATAGATTATCATGTAACTTCTCCCGAGGATATCCATGCATTATCCAGTAAACAGGTAATGAGAATATTCAAACTTATCAGGTAGAAGTTTTTATTTTGATCTGACACTAGATTCTCACAACTAATTTACAAGGAAATGTGTAACAGCTCGAGGGGAGAATTAATAATCAGATCCTGTGAGTCAAAGGGTTAAATACTTTGAATTGTTGTGGAGAAATGTGGGAATGTTTAGGTAAAATTAAAAAAATATATAGAGGAAGTGCTTATAGTCTGAGAGGTAAATCAAAGCTTATCAGATTCTGGTGGCCATTCTTATATTTTGTTTTAAACAGATCCTGCTGATAACATGAAAGATCTCTTAAACCAAATTTCCAGCAAAGAAATGATGTCAACAACGAAAAGAATGGGTTATATTAATAACTTCACAAAGGTACATGTGTACAAAGCAGCTTGATTTGTCATTTCTTTTTCTTTCTGTGGTCATTATCATGATCTGAAAACAGAGTAAACGAGAAAAAGTCAAATTAATTTGAAAAATTTTCTGAGCAAAAAAAAAATTGCTTGTCTCATTTTGCTAGTGTATAGATTCTACCTCAAGTTTTTTATTTGATATTTACACCTTAAACACCAGAAAACATACGTAAATAATCCAAGTTTTGCTGGATGAAAATCCAAAACAGAGAAATGAAAAAAACAAAACAAAACTCAAGTTCCCATAGGTTTCAAGTCTTCACTAACTTCAATTTTCAATATGCTAAATTTGAAGTAAAAAACATGTGTTCAAGGAGAGGGGATTCTTTAACATTTTCAGCAGGAGGGCAACTGGTTCTCACAGATGGGCAAAACATTTTGACCTGAACTTTGCCATAAGATAAACTTTCCTCTGGTATTTCCTCTGATTTTGCCTACTTGGTCAAACCAGGTTGGCAAAACTGTCCTCACAACCGGCAGTGCATAACCTTTATTAAAACCCCTGCTTCAGCAGTTTCTTGAAGAAAACAATTTTAAACACTGTTTAACAAAACAGCTTTAAAACATGTTTAGGCTTTGATATAAAGGAGATTAAGTTAGTGTTTAGGAAAAAAGTGTTATGGTGCTGGAAAGTGAATTTCTTAGCTGCAAGGAAAGGCTTGTTACTCTTGGTGCAGTTAAGAAATTTTAAATCAATATACTTATCAGTAATCATGTGTCATTCTCTTTCTCTGTATAGTTAATTCAAAATGTAGGTGAGAATGCCAACTTTGGTTACTCTCTGGAAGACATCATCAAATGGTAGGTTTTCAGTAAAAATATTTTTTTTGATCATCACAAACATTGATTTACTGTTTTGAGGTATGGGGAGTTTACTGTACATGAAACACTAAAAGCACCAAGAATGCTAAAAAGCACCCTAAAGATTAACAAAAAATGCAAAAAAAATGAATGTTTTTACATTCATCTATATTCACTCTGTACCCTTAGTCTTGCATTTTTTTGTTTAATTTTGGAGTAGGTACATGATGTTATAACTGCTGTTGGCACTGTTTTGATAGATGATGTTTTCAGTTTGAAGATGTTTAGTAACTTTATTTTATGTCTTTTTCAAACTTTTGTCTTTAGCTTAATGCCTCCACTAGTTTCAGCTGCTAAAGAACTCAGAGCAGCTGGACTGCGAGCATTTCGTCATCTATTTTATGATGAAAAAACTCTGTCTAAAATACTTGAATACAGGATTGACATTTTCATTGTCAGGTGAAAGCTAGCTTATAATTATGTCAGGACTTTAACATATTGTGAACAAAATGCTAATTATTGGATACATACATGTACCTTAAGAGTGAATGGTGCCTTTAGCTTGTGCTGATTGGTGAGTTCACATGCAATAAGCAAAACACTAGTCATCTCTAAGTGGCTGCAGACAGACAGATGGCTTCCTGTTTGGCTACTTATATCGATTTCAAAACAAGCTGGTGACCAACAGAGTTCTGCCAGTTACTTAATAAGATGTCACTGGTTACTCCAATCAAAATACTTTCTTTTTGGCCCTAAGCCCTTTAATTCGCTGAAGTGATAAACATGAAACTTCTCCCTAAAATATCCATACATAATTCAGTAAACAGGTGATGAGAATATTCAAACTTATCAGGTAGAAGCTGCTACCTTAATCTAGTACCAAGTTCTCATAACTAATTTACAATGGAATGTGTAGCAGCTACAGGGGAGAATTAACAATCAGATCTTGGGAGTTAAAGCATTAATGAACTTTTCACCGTCACCTTCTTTTGCCAAGTCTGATGCCTACTTCAAAACATTTTGAAAACTCTCTACTTACAGCCACCATCGAGAACATAAAACATTTCACATATCTTTGTCAATGTCATAAAATTCATGTTTGGTTGAGATGATCGAAATGAAAAACAAAGCAATGGCATCATTATTATCAGGAATTATGGTATTTACTTGAATACGTTTTTTTAGTTTTATTTGTTTTCCTTTCACTAGATCAATGGACATGGTTCACAATGCCTTTGAAGTGGAACGTGTTCAAGCATTAAGATTCATTC